AGTGGTGGTGGTAGTGGTAGTAGTGGCGGTGGTAGTAATGGTGGTGGTAGTGGTAGTAGTGGCGGTAGTGGTGGTAGTAGTGGTAGTGGTGGTAGTAGTAGACGTCGTTCTAACGCGCGCTCGCCCCCATGGCAACCGATCTGCCCCCGAGGCCAGAACGAGCTCCGTCAACAAAGCGCCGCGTGCGAGCGGAGCGCAGCGCAGCGCTCCATGGACACAAACACTGCTCGCCCGGTAACAAGGGCGGCGACGTTTCGGACAATGGCCCTTCATCCGAGCACATCGCTGCCTAAACGTGGCACGCTGTTGGCCTGCTCCCTTTGACTGATGTTTAGGTCGCGTTCGCGATGGGGGCACACACTCTCTCGTGCCCGTGTGCCTGATGCCATTATGGAGGTCCGCGTGGCATCTGTCAATGGCGTCAGACGCGCCCCCTTACGTCACAACGGAAACATCGGCGCAGGCCGCGAAACAAACAGACGGAACGGCGCAAAAGACAAAGGTGTCCCGCATAGCCTCTGACAGACAGTTGGGGCAAGTGCTGTTAAACGAGTAGCAGCTATGAAGGAGAGACAGGGGGGTGGGGGTGCCGGGCGTGGTGCTGACCACCCACCCCTCGTTTGCCGTCGTCTGTGTTGCTCGCAAACAGCAATCGTCCCACACGATTTGTTAAAAGACAAATTCTACACGGGGGCTCTTTGTGCGTTGCGTGACTGGCATCTGCCAATCATCTCGGCCAATTAACCCACGGCACCTGGGTCTGTGCCGTGACCACGCTGGCTATGAGATGTTCACTCCCTCGCCGGGTCTGCAGGAGGTCGAGGGTTCGATCGCAACCCTGATGCCTGCTGCTGTTTATTCGGAGTCTGCGGTGTCTCTCTCTCTCTCTCTCCCACCGTGGTCGCGTGGATTTTTCTCCGCGCCCTCCGGAGTTTCCATCCATATTTAGAATCAACGTCAGCACGCGTTTAGAGCGTTTGGCTTCTCGACATTTCCACGTGGTGATGATGATGATGATGTTTAAATTGTTTTTTTACGCTTCTATCTGGCAACAAAACTGACACCTTTTTTACAAGGAGTCATGTTTGCATAGACCACAATACCTGCAGCCAAAAGGCGTCGTCTGGTCCAACCCATGTGAGACTAGGCTCTAAGGAAAGCTGTCTCGGGTGTGGACCAATCAACTTCAAGGACAGTGCACATTATCAGAGTTGTGTTTTTTGTTTGCATTATGACTGCAGGTATTGTGGTCAATGCAAACATGACTCTTTGTAAAAACCAAAAAGGTGTCAGTTTTGTTGCCAGATAGAAGGGTAAAAAACCAATTATCATATTTTTTTGGTATGATGATGATGTTGTTGATAAGCCACTTCGATGAGCGATCATTTGTGGCCAGGTCGCTTCTGGGACTTACCGTAAATGAGTTCGTCCACGCTGGACGCGCCTGATGATTGTTAGACTCGTCCCGCGTGCCACGCTAGGCCATTCACGAGCGTCGATCTACATTAAGATTGAGATGCGCGTGTGTGTGTGTGTACTGGTGTTCCACATGCGTGTGTACACGTGTTCCACGCGTGTGTGTGTGTACGTGTTCCACGCGTGTGTGTGTGTATACGTGTTACACACGTGTATGTGTACACGTGTTCCACGCGTGTGTGTGTACACGTGACACACGTGTGTGTGTTCACACCTATTCCACGTGTGTGCACGTGTGCTCCACGTGTGCTCGCTAACCGCTACACCTTCACCACAACGTCCACCACCACCACCATCAAACCACATCACCCCACATCGCCGCCATCACAAACCAAGAGACACAGGTGCCTACTGAGTGCAGATATATTTTGTGGTTAGCGAGCACCTATTAAAGCCGAGATTAATACAGTACACGGGGAACAGAAATACGTAGGCCCGATCGCCTCCCTCACTCTCTCACTCACTCCCGGCTCTGACCTTCACGATCCACACCACCAACGCGCCAAGGGACGAACGGTTCTCATTTCGGGCTGGGTCGACCTAGTGGGGAGTCAGACCAGGCCCACGCAGCCATTGGCTGGCCCCGCTGGTTCTGAGGATCAGCAAAGCCAAGCTAGCGACTCGAACCCAGGACACCGCAGTGTAGAAAAAATAAAATACAAAGATCCCCCGTGTAGCCTGCAACAGACTGTTGGGGCAAGTGCTGTTAGCGAGCAGCTACGAAGGCCGGGTGGGTGGCCAGCACCACGTCTCGGCCGCCTTTGTCTCCCCGGTGGACACGTGGTTTACACGCCGCGCACCAGGTATTCATTTGAGGCTGAGTCGACCTAGGGGAGGCCCAGGACCGGTTCTAGATAATCGTCACCGGCGTCGGTGTTGGCCGCGAGCGGGAATCAAACTCGGGCGGCCGGGTCCGTGGCGCGGCGTAGCGCTAGACAAAGAGGCCTTTCGTGGGCAGAGCGCTCTGAGTTAGCGAGCACCTATTAAGGCAGGCACGGCGGACGCGGAAGTGGCGTTGATGGAACCACTCCGGACCCGTCTCCGCCGCCACGGCCACGGCTAAAATTCTAAGGCAACAACAACAACAGGGGGTGATTTAAGGCCGAGTTGACCTAGGGGAGGGCCCACCACCGGTTCGGAAATCACCCTGCACCGATGTTGATTCCGTGATGATCGGACCCAGCCGCGACATCAGGCAAGCTCAGCAGGCTGGTGGGGGGGGGCGGCCTGGTCAGGGGACACGGGCATCGTCGCGGGTGACGCCGGCTGCATCACCCATCGTTGTGCCGTATCGCCCTTCCACGCCTCCTCTGTTCCACTGCACCAGCGTGGTGAAGTATGGTCAACCACCCCCCCTCCCTCCCCCCGCGACCCGCAGAGTGGCGAGTTCTTCATCCAAAGAGGGCTGCACGTGTACAAAGACAAAGATGGCCCGTATAGGCTGCAAAAGCTGCTGGGGCAAGCGCTGTGAGCTCTCCTTGCTTACCCCAGCGCTGATGTTTGACACACTCGCTCCAAGGTACGCATTTAAGACTGAGTTGACCTAGGGGAGGACCTAGGACCGGTTCACGTAATCGTCACGGCCGGGTTCGAAGCGCAGCGCGCTAACCACTGCGCCACCGCTCCACGACGGTGATAGCGATGGTGGATGCATGTTAGGGCAGGCAAAGAGGCCCCGTATAGACTTAGCAAATTGTTGGGGCAAGTGCTGTTAGCGAGCAGAACCTATGAAGCCCGGCACGGCACACGAGGGGGGGGGGGTGAGTGGCCAGCACCACGCCCGGCCGCCTTTGTCTCCCCAGTGCTGATGTATCAGACTTTGCAGCAGTTACCCATTTTAAGGTTGAATCGACCGAGGGGAGGCCCAGGACCGGTTCAGATAATCGTCACTGGGTGTTGTCCGTGAGCGGGAATCGAACTCGGGTCGCCGGGTTCGTAGCGCTGACCGCTACACTACCGCTTCCCCAACACACAAAGATCCCCCGTATAGCCTGCACAGACTGTTGGGGCAAGTGCTGTTAGCGAGCAGCACCTATGAAGGCTGCCACGGCGGACGAGGGGGGTGACTGGCCACACAACACGCGACGCTTGTGCCAGGCTAGGTGCACGTTGAGGCCACCTGAAGTGTCGAACGCCCGCTGGCAGGAGGTCACGGGGCACACCCAGGTGCCACGGGTCGACTGACTGAGACGACTGGCTGATGCACCACCTGTGCCCCCTACTGTGCCAACTTGCTGTGCTTTAGCCACCCGGCGCTCCGCTCGTTGATGTGAGCGTCGCTCTTCTGCCCTCCGTTGTTGTTGGAGGGCGACTGCCTCCAACTGCCCAGCAGCGTCCTTCACGAGCCTCCTCCACAGAAGCCTATCCTGACACCGCTGGTACCAGTCATCGGCAAGTCCACTCAGCTCCACGTCCTCTTGTACCACATCACTCCATCTCTTCTCTAGCCCGTGCCGCGCCCGTTTAGCCCCCTCTACCCAGCCAAACAGAAGCTGCTTGGGCAAGCGGTGGCTGGCCATGCGGGCTACGTGATCCAGCCAAAGCAGCCTGCTGGAGGAGCTCACTGATGGGAATGTGTCCAGATCTTTATTGACACGTACACACGTAGACACACACACACACACAGGCATACAGGTACACACACAGGCACACAGGTACACACACACACAGGTACACACACACAGGTACACACACAGGTGCACACACACACACAGGTGCACACACACAGGCACACACAGGTGCACACACACAGGTACACACACACAGGTACACACACAGGTAGACACACACACAGGTACACACACAGGTACACACACACACAGGTGCACACACAGGTACACACACACAGGTGCACACACAGGTACGCACAGGTGCACACACAGGTACACACACACAGGTGCACACAGGTACACACACACACAGGTACACACACACACAGGTGCACACACAGGTACACACACAGGTAGACACACACACAGGTACACACACAGGTACACACACACAGGTGCACACACAGGTACACACACACAGGTGCACACAGGTACACACACACAGGTACACACACACACAGGTGCACACACAGGTACACACACAGGTAGACACACACAGGTACACACACAGGTACACACACACAGGTGCACACACAGGTACACACACACAGGTGCACACACAGGTACGCACAGGTGCACACACAGGTACACACACACAGGTGCACACAGGTACACACACACACAGGTACACACACACACAGGTGCACACACAGGTACACACACACACACGCACACAGCTACACACAGGTGCACACACACAGGTACACACACAGGTAGACACACACACAAGTACACACACAGGTACACACACACAGGTGCACACACAGGTACACACACACAGGTGCACACACAGGTACACACAGGTGCACACAAACAGGTGCACACACAGGTACGCACAGGTGCACACAGGTACACACACGCACACAGCTACACACAGGTGCACACACGACTCGCCACCTCCACCCCCCCTGACGCCCCCGCCCCCCCCCCCCGTGTCCCCGCGGCCAGTCGAGTGGGAGGAGTCTAGAAGTCGGGTCTGTCCTTCTTCAGCTTGTCGTAGTCCATGGAGACTGCGAGGAACTGTGTGGGGGGAGGGGGTTAGAGAGAGAGGGGGGGGGGTAGAGATGAGGAGAGAGAGGATGGGGAACATAGACATAGAGTAGGGAGAAAGGGGGTAGAGAGGGGGTATAGAAAGAGGGGGTAGAGAGAGAGGGTGGTAGAGAGAGGTGGGGTAGAGAGAGGGGATAGAGAGAGGAGGGGGTAGAAAGAGGGGGGTAGAGAGAGGGGGTAGAGAGAGAGGGGGTAGAGAGAGGGGGGTAAAAAGAGGGGGTAGAGAGAGAGGGGGTAGAGAAAGAGAGGGGGTAGAGAGAGGGGATAGATAGAGGGGGGGTAGAGAGAGAGGGGGTAGAGAGAGAGGGGGGTAGAGAGAGAGGGGGAATGGGGTAAGGAGAGCAGAGCGTGACATCTTTTGTAAACTCTTCCATTTAAAAAGGGTGGGGAGGGGAGCACATAAAGCAAATCATTAAAATCAAACAAACACAAACGAACTGATGAACGAAGCAAAGTGCCGACTGCACCGAGCATCTTCTTGTTTCCGCTGATCGTAAAAAATAAAAAACAGAGAGATGGAGAGAGAGTTGAGAGAGAGACCCCCCCCGCCCCCGTAAAACACCCCCAGCCCCCTCCAAGACAAAGCTCCCCCGCGTAGCCTCAACATATTGTTGGGCGCAAGTGCAGTTTGCGAGTTGCACTCCCCGTCCGTCTTTGTCTCCCCGGCGTTCGCTACGCGACCCCCCTCGCGATCTCACTCGCAGTCCAAAGACAAAGCTCCCCCGCGTAGCCTCAACATATTGTTGGGCGCAAGTGCAGTTTGCGAGTTGCACTCCCCGTCCGTCTTTGTCTCCCCGGCGTTCGCTACGCGACCCCCCTCGCGATCTCACTCGCAGTCCAAAGACAAAGCTCCCCCGCGTAGCCTCAACATATTGTTGGGCGCAAGTGCAGTTTGCGAGTTGCACTCCCCGTCCGTCTTTGTCTCCCCGGCGTTCGCTACGCGACCCCCCTCGCGATCTCACTCGCAGTCCAAAGACAAAGCTCCCCCGCGTAGCCTCAACATATTGTTGGGCGCAAGTGCTGTTGGCGGGGTATGAAGGCTACCGGCACTGTGGCACACGAGGGGGTGGGCGGTCAGCACCACGCCCGGCCGCCTTTGTCTCCCCTATTTGTCGATAATCTCAATGGAGCGATTTGCTGGTACTGGAATCGTTCAGCAATGGGATGTTTGGTGAATACCAGTTACTGTTTTGATGATGGTGATGATGGCGATGGTAATGGTACTGCTGTTGATGGGTGATAATGATGTCGACGACGATGATGATGTTAATGATGCTGCTATTGTTGATGTTGATGATGCGGGCAGGAGATAGGGAAAATCATCGCGTACTCCGAGAGGATAATCACTTCCCGTGACACTGGGCAGTGAGTGCAAGGATGTTTGTCTGTGTGCGTGACTGTGTATGTCTGTGTGTGTGTGTATCTGTGGGTGCGTGTCTGTCTGTGTGTGTGTGTCTGTGTGTGTGTGTGTCTGTGTGTGTGTGTCTGTGTGTCTGTGTCTGTGTGTGTGTCTGTGTGCGTGACTGTGTATGTCGGTGTGTGTGTGTGTATCTGTGGGTGCGTGTCTGTCTGTGTGTGTGTGTCTGTGTGTGTGAGTGTCTGTGTGTGTGTCTGTGTGTCTGTGTCTGTGTGTGTGTCTGTGTGCGTGACTGTGTATGTCGGTGTGTAAGTATCTGTGTGTGTGTCTGTGTGTGTGTGTGTTTCTGTGTGTGTGTGTGTATCTGTGGGTGTGTCTGTGTGTGTGTATCTGTGTGTGTGTGTCTGTCTGTGTTTGTCTGTGTGCGTGTCTGTGTATGTCGGTGTGTGTGTGTGTATCTGTGGGTGCGTGTATGTCGGTGTGTGTGTGTGTATCTGTGTGTGTGTGTGTCTGTGTGTGTGTGTGTCTGTGTGTGTTTCTGTGTGCGTGTCTGTGTATGTCGGTGTGTGTGTGTGTGTATCTGTGGGTGCGTTCTGGCTCCTGCCACCATGAGGGGTGGACAGTCCTCTACTCGGGGCAGGAGACTGCCAAACAACAGGGTGTGGCTCTTCTTCTGAACAAAAGAATGAAGGGGGCGTGGGAGCGTGGCGGTGAGGTGTGGGAAGCTGTAAGCCCCAGGATACTTTGGGCTCGCCTTCCCATCAACCAGAGGCGAGGAGTGGTGGTCGTGGTTACTTATGCCCCCACCGAAGATGAAGATCCGTGGAGGGATGCAGGCAAAGCCGATGAGTCAGACGCTTTCTATGACCTCCTGTCACAGGTGCTGGCTAAAGTGGCCACTCGGGACAGAGTCATCTTGTTGGGTGACTTCAATGCCCGAGTTGGTCATGATGATGGCACCTGGTCTGGAGTGATTGGAAGGCATGGGCCAGATCAGCTCAATAATAACGGTAGGAGGCTGCTAGATTTTTGTGCAGCCCATGGGCTTGTAATTACCAACACGCTCTTCCGGCATCGGCGCATCCACACAACATCATGGATACATGCCGGGTCCAAGCAAGAACATCTGCTGGACTACATAGTGACGGACCAGCGGATGCGAGCCCATGTCCTTGACACCAGGACCTACCGTGGAGCTGATCTGTCCTCTGACCATCGTCTAGTCATCTGTAAGATGCGCCTGCCTTTCTTCCACTCCGGTGGTGGGTGTACACCCAGGATCCCATTCCAACCAAAAGTGGCCTGGTCTCAGTTAGCTGATAAAAGTTGCAAGCGAGAATTTCATCATCGCTTGCAGCTGGGGTTGGCATCGTCCCCCACTCCACCTGATGTCGAGGGGAAATGGGCGAGGTTTAAGACTGTGACTCATGCAGCCGCAATGGCTGCTTTGGGTACGCGGTCCAGACCTCCCCAGAAACCCTGGCTGACAGAGGAGGTGTTCAGGTTAATTGAGAAAAAGCGACAGGCCCACTCTCATCGCCTACAGCATCCCACGTCAGAGAATGAGGAGGTTTACCGCAGCCTTCGCTCGGAAGTTCGGAGAGCCGTAAGGCGCTGTAAGGATGGGTGGTGGTCGCTGGTTGCTGAGGAGATGGAGTCTGCCTCAGTGGCCCGTGATCACAAATCATTATTTAACTCCATCAAAAAAGTAACCTGCAGCGCCACACCTATTACCATCATTAGAGGAAAAAACGGTGATCCAATCTCCGACCCCCAGGAACAGGTTTGCAAATTTGCTGAGCATTTCTGTGAGGTCCTGGGGGAGGGAAATTCTCTCAGCCAGGAAAACATCATGGCAAAAAGTGGTGATAACCCTGCTGAGGCTGCGGTGCCTCAAATATTGGAAGAGGTCACCCCCTGTGAGTGGCTGGCTGAGGTGCCAGCTGTTGAGGAAGTACTGAGGGCGATCCGGAGTCTGAGACCAGGGAAGGCACCGGGCAGAGATGATCTCCCAAGCGAAATGCTGAGGGAGGGTGGCGTTTGTGCACAGACTGCCCTATATGACATCATAACAACAGTCTGGACCACTGGACGGGTTCCGCAGGACTGGAAGGATGCCCTGGTGGTCCCCCTCTTTAAGAAGGGGGACCGTACCGACTGTAACAACTACAGGGGCATCTCACTCCTCAGTGTGCCGGGTAAGGTCCTGGCAAGGATTATTCAACATCGCCTTGCTAGGCACGCTGAGGAGGGGCTTGCGGAGCCCCAATGCGGTTTCAGGAAAGGGCGGTCCTGCACAGATGCCATATTTTCTGTCCGTCTGCTACAGCAGAGGTGTAGGGAATTCCAAAAAGACCTACATCTCTGCTTTATTGACCTGGTCAAGGCCTATGATACCATCAGTAGGACTGGGCTCTGGGTTGTTCTTCGTGCTTTCGGAGTCCCTGACCCTCTGCTCACGATCATTAAGGACCTTCATGATGGTGAGCGGGCCCGGGTAAAACTACGTGGCCGGGAGTCGGAGCCTTTCCCTGTACACCTTGGGGTGCGACAGGGATGTCCTCTGGCTCCCACATTATTTAACATCTATTTTGACCGCGTAGTTCGTGAAGCCTTCAATAGCTGTACCGGGGGAATTTCCATTTGGTACAGATATAATGGGAGGCTGATCGATGCCCGGGTGCGATCAAGGGATGGCTCCCTATTGGTCAACCACGTTATGTATGCCGATGATTTGGTAATAGCTGCTCATTCAGAAGAGGAGTTGGAGACGCTGCTGCTGAGACTGGAGCGTGCCACTAAGAGGTGGGGCCTTACCATCAGCCCCACCAAAACTAAGCACCTGCCTGGGTATTTTGTACCATCGGACACTCCACCCCCACAACTCCCAATTGGTGATGGGGCAGTTGTGGAGAGAGTGGAGAGTTTCCCATACCTGGGCAGTGTGCTTATGACCGGCTCCAGTCTATCAGCAGAGGTCTCACTCCGAATCAGTCGAGCGGCAATATCTTTTCATCGGTTGCGTAACGCTGTGTGGAAGCTACCTGGTCTGTCGCTCCGCACGAAGCTTCAGGTCTTCTCGGCCACGGTCATTCCCTCCCTTCTCTACGCTTGCGAGACGTGGACCCCCCTGGTGGAGCATCTTCGCCGGTTGGAAACATTTAGGCTGGCCTGCCTACGATCCATCCTGGGTTTAACCAGGCTGGATTGTGTGAGGAGCTCACAAATCCTTGAAAGATCTGGGCAAAGTCCCATCAGTGAGCTCCTCCGGCAGGCAAGGCTGCGTTGGCTGGGTCATGTAGCCCGCATGCCCAGCCACCGCATGCCTAAACAGCTTTTGTTCGGCCGGATCGAGGGGGCTAGACGGGCGCGGCACGGGCTGGAGAAGAGATGGAGTGATGTGGTACAGGAGGACGTGGAGCTGAGTGGACTTGCCGATGACTGGTACCAGCGGTGTCAAGATCGGCCTCAGTGGAGGAGGCTCGTGAAGGACGCTACTGGGCAGTTGGAGGCAGTCGCCCTCCAACAACAACGGAGGGCGGAGGAGCGACGCTCACAACAACGAGCGGAGCGCCGGGTGGCTAAAGCACAGCAAGTTGGCACAGTAGGGGGCACAGGTGGTGCATCAGCCAGTCATCTCGGTCATCTCGGTCAGTCGACCCGTGGCACCTGGGTCTGCCCCGTGACCTCCTGCCAGCGGGCTTTCGACACTTCACGTGGCCTCAAGGTGCACTTGGCCTGGCACAAGCATCGTGGTGACGTCACCGCCACTTAGTGGCGAATGGCGGTTGTTGTTGTTGTTGTGTGTATGTCTGTGTGTAAATATATGTGTGTGTGTGTGTCTGTCTGTGTGTGTGTCTGTGTGCGTGTCTGTGTGTGTGTATCTGTGTGTGTGTCTGTGTGTGTGTATCTGTGTGTGTGTGTCTGTGTGTGTGTCTGTCTGTGTGTGTGTCTGTGTGTGTGTATCTGCGTGTGTTTCTGTGTGTGCGTGTCTGTGTGCGTGTCTGTGTGTGTGTCCGTGTGTGTCTGTGTGTATCTGTGTACGTGTCTGTGTGTGTGTCTGTGTGTGTGTCTGTGTGTGAATCTGTGTGTGTGTCTGTGTGTGTCTGTGTGTGTGTCTGTGTGTGTATCTGTGTGCGTGTCTATGTGTGTATCTGTGTGTGTGTGTGTGTGGGTCTTTGTCTGTGTGTCTTCGATTCTCGCTCACGACCAAAACCAGTGAAGATTATCTGAACCGGTGCTGGGCCTCCCCTAGGTCGACTCAGCCTCAAATGAGTATTTGGTGCGGTGTGTAAACATCGCCACTAGGGAGACAAAGGCGGCCGGGCGTGGTGCTGGCCACCCACCCCCTCGTGTGCCGTGTCGGCCTTCATAGGTGCTACTCGCTAACAGCACTTGCCCCAACAGTCTGTGAAGGCTACACGGGGGGTCTTTGACATTGTGCGAGGCTGTGGGTGTGTGTGAGAGAGATTCGCCTGTTAAACAAATACACGCATCGATGATGCACGTGGATATACGCACACACACGCACACACACGCACACACGCACACACACGCACGCACACACACGCACGCACACACACGCACGCACACACACGCACGCACGCACACGCACGCACGCACACACACGCACGCACACACACGCACACACACACACGCACGCACACGCACACACACGCACGCACACACACGCACGCACACGCACGCACACACACACGCACACACACGCACGCACACACACGCACGCACACGCACGCACGCAAACGCGAACACAAACATCCACAAACACGCACACACACACACGCACAAACACGCACACACACACGCACACACACACACGCACACACACACACTCACGCACACACACGCACGCAAACGCGAACACAAACATCCACAAACACGCACGCACACACACGCACGCACACACACACGCACACACACGCACGCACACACACGCACGCACACGCGAACACAAACATCCACAAACACGCACACACACACACGCACACACACTCACGCACACACACGCACGCACACGCGAACACAAACATCCACAAACACGCACACACACGCACGCACACACACGCACGCACACACACGCACGCACACACACACACACGCACACACACGCACGCACGCACGCACACACACACACGCACGCACGCACACACACACACGCACACACGCAAACGCGAACACAAACATCCACAAACACGCACACACACGCACGCACACACACACACACGCACACACACGCACGCACACACACACACACGCACACACACACACGCACACACACACACGCACACACACGCACGCACACACACGCACACACACACACGCACACGCACACACACACGCACACACACGCACGCACACACACACACGCACACACACACACGCACGCACACACACGCACGCACGTGATTACATCGGTAATCGTGATACCTCGAAAGAGTTAAACAAAGATAAACGTCCCCCGTATAGCCTCGGCGTGTTTCGTTGGGGGGGGGAGGGGCAAGTGCTGAAGGCGAGTGGCAGCGCCTACGAAGGCCGCCTTTGTCTTCCCAGCGCCGGTGTCTATACACGGCGGCAGGCACTCGTTTTAAGGCTGAGTAGACCTAGGAGAGACTCCGCGACCGCCAGTATTTGCTCGTCGCACGCGGGACTCGCGCTAACCACTGCGCCACCGCTCGCCCTCCTACTGAGTGGCACACAAAGACAAAGACCCCCCCCAGCCGCCGTATAGCCTCAGTAGACTGTTGGGGCAAGTGCTGTTAGCGAGTAGGGCCTTTGTCTCCCCAGTGGCGACATTTACCACACACCGCATTTGAGGCTGAGTCGACCTAGGGGAGGCCCAGGACCTGTTTCAGATAATCGTCACCGGTGTTGGTCGTGAGCGGGAATCGAACTCGGGTGGCTGGGTTCGTAGCGCTAACCGCTACACGACCGCACCCCAGACACAGACACACACACAGACACAGACACACACACACACATAAATACATTCACACACACAGACACACACACACAGACACACACACACGTAAATACATTCACACACACACACACACAGACACACACATACACACACACAGACACACACACACGTAAATACATTCACACACACACATACAGACACACACAGACACACACAGACACACACACATAAATACATTCACACACACACACACAGACACACACACAGACAGACACACACATAAATACATTCACACACACACAGACACACACACACAGAGACACACACACGTAAATATATTCATACACATACACACACAGACACACACAGAGACACACACACACATAAATACATTCACACACACAGACACACACACACAGACACACACACAGACACACACACGCGTAAATACATTCACACACACACAGACACACACACACACACAGACACACACACATAAATACATTCACACACACACACAGACACACACAGACACACACACATAAATACATTCACACACACACACAGACACACACAGACAGACACACACATAAATACATTCACACACACACAGACACAGACACACACACAGAGACACACACACGTAAATATATTCACACACATACACACACAGACACACACACACATAAATACATTCACACACACACAGACACACACACACAGAGACACACACAGACACACACACGCGTAAATACATTCACACACACACAGACACACACACACACAGACACACACACATAAATACATTCACACACACACAAGTACATATATCAACAAAGATAAGATAAATAGCTTCGTATTATCTTTGACAAAGACAAAGATCCCCCCGTGTATCCTTAACTTTGACAACACGCACGCGCACGCACATGCATAACGCGTGCGTCGCTGAACCAACTGCGGACATTCCACGTTAGTGTGGCGGGAGAGAAGCGGTACCTTGTACTGGTGAGTTGGTTCGAGATTGTTCCACGGCTCGGGGTTTCCTTTCTTGTTCCAACTGGGAGACACAGAGAGGTCGACGATTAGCCTCATGAAGCACATGGGCGATAGAGACAAAGACAAAGGTCCCCCGTGTGGCTTGTAACAGACTGTTGGGGCAAGTGCTGTTAGCGAGCGGCAGCGCCTATGAAGGCTACCGGCACTGTGGCACACGAGGGGGTGGGTGGCCAGCACCACGCCCGACCGCCTTTGTCTCCCCAGCGGCGATGTTTACCACACACCGCACCAGGAACTCATTTGAGGCCGAGTCGACCTAGGAGAGAGGCCCAGGACCGGTTCAGATAATCATCACCGGTGTTGGCCGTGAGCGGGAATCGAACTCGGGTCGCCGGGTTCGTAGCGCGGCGTAGCGCTAACCGCTGCACCACCGCTCCGGCAGGTGTGCGAGACACAGGGAGGCACGTTCAGTACCAGATACACTCGCCAGATACACTCGCCAGATACACTCGCCCGGACCAATCACCACTCACACCACGTATGTCTGTTGAACGTCTTTCGCACCGTACGTAGCCAACTAAACACACGCAGCATGCAAACTCACCCCATACACACCGCTCACTGGACACTCACCCCACTCACCAGATGCACTCACCGCTCACTAAACGCGTGATGTTGATTCTAAATAGGGAGGGGAAAACCGGAGGAGCCGGAGAAAAATCCAGGCGGGATCGAACCCACGACCTCCTGTGTACCAGGCGAGGTAGTTAACATCTCCTAGCCACCGTGGTGATAATGAGAGAGACACGCGGACTCCAAATATACAGCAGCAGGCGTCAGGGTCGGGATCGAACCCACGACCTCCTGTCTACCAGGCGAGGTAGTTAACATCTCCTAGCCACCGAGATGATGATGAGAGAGCGAGACACGCAAACTCCAAATATACAGCAGCAGGCATCAGGGTCGGGATAGAACCCACAACCTCCTGTATACCAGGCGAGGTAGTTAACATCTCCTAGCCACCGTGGTGATGATGAGAGAGAGCGAGACACGCAAACTCCAAATATACAGCAGCAGGCGTCAGGGTCGGGATCGAACCCACGACCTCCTGTAGACCAGGCGAGGTAGTTAACATCTCCTAGCCACCGTGATGATGATGAGAGAGCGAGACACGCAAACTCCAAATATACAGCAGCAGGCGTCAGGGTCGGGATCGAACCCACAACCTCCTGTATACCAGGCGAGGTAGTTAACATCTCCTCGCCACCGTGATAATGATGAGAGAGAGACACGCAAACTCCAAATATACAGCAGCAGGCGTCAGGGTCGGGATCGAACCCACGACCTCCTGTATACCAGGCGAGGTAGTTAACATCTCCTAGCCACCGTGATGATGATGAGAGAGAGACACGCAAACTCCAAATATACAGCAGCAGGCGTCAGGGTCGGGATCGAACCCACAACCTCCTGTATACCAGGCGAGGTAGTTAACATCTCCTAGCAACCGTGGTGCCAGGCACACTCAGAACTCACTCCAAACACGCTCGCCACTCACCAGAAACTCACCACACACACACAGCATTGCGGTGTTGTTGTTAGCGAGCTCCTATTAATGCACTCGCCTGATGTCGGGGTTGCGTAGGGCGAGACGGAGTGTGTAGAGGGCTGCTGTCGACAGACCAAGCCCAATGAAAAACAGCATCGGGTAGAGCTGAAATAACATCATCCATATCATCATAATCATCAATCATAATATCAATAATCATCATCATCAATGTCATGGCTATTATCATCAGTGATATCATCAATATGAGCATCAATACTATTAACATCATTATTATCATCAATAGCATCATATATTTTATCATCAATCATATCAGCATTAATATATCATCATCAATAATATCAACATATTTATTATCATTAATAATATCAACATCATTAATAATAGTATTGGTTCTTTTGGTAAAGTCACGTAGAAGGGAAACAATAAAATAATAAAAACATTTCTATAAAACAATAAAAATAAATAATGTTTTATTGTTTTATTTTTTAAATCCCTTCTACGTGACTTTACCGAAAGAAACAAGAATATGAACCCTGCAGTCACGGAAGCTTTAAATCAAAATCATTAATAATGTCTTCATATAATTGTTGTCATCACATCATCAAAATCATCATTATCGTTATATCAACATCGTCGTCATCGTCATGGTCATCATCAATATCACTATATTATAATCATCATGATCATCATGATCACCATGTCATCTTCGTTATTAACAACATCAAAAAGCTACCATCATCAGCTTCAACATCATCATTGTCGCCGTGACGAGCTTTATTAAATATCATCGCCAGGTGACGCATACTCTGCATCATCATCATCACATTCTCTTTACACATCATCACCATCACAACTGCCACCATCATCATCATCACAACTGTGATCGTCAGCTGTTTCACATCATCTTCATAATTATCATCATACACAGCAACATCAACAGCAGCAGCAGCAGCAGCTTTATTAATACAACTGTTATCATCACAACTCTCATCATTGGAACTATCATCATAATCATCACAAATACAATCACAAATATCACCGTCACGTGTGCCACCACGAGTGTCTGTCTGTTTGTCGTCAACTCACGCTGCGATGTTTCCGCGCCTTAGAGAAAAGATTCCCAAAGGGTGGCATCATTGCAGACTGCACGGACTGACTAGTCTACTGACTAAGCTATTGGCCAATCTACTGGCTAAGGCTATTGGCCAAATCTACTGGCTACTCTGCCGGCTACTCTGATGGCTCAGCTATTGGCTCATCTACTGACTAAACTGTTCACTCAGCAACTGACTCATTTACTGATTGACCGGTCAACTGACTGACTGGCTTCCTGACTGACTCGTCAACTCAACCTGCCGACTGACTGATCTCCTGATTGATCTCCTGACTAACAGACTGATCGAACTACTCATTCACCGGTCGACTCACTGCCTGATTTGCTGAACTATTGACTATCCCCACTGAGCTAGCTAGCGACTGACTGACTGACTGGAATGGACTAAAGCCAGGCAAGTTTAGCCGACGCTGACTGACTCGGAGCAGTGGCGCTGTGATGGACGCTGGGTGCCTGAGTGAGGCAGGAGCCGTGAACTCCGGGGA